TGCCACCTCTAATTCTCCAACAGGGATGGCGACACCTTTCAATTTTGTACTCATTCTCCAAGTCCAATGACGCCTCCCTACACGTCTAATCGTATTACATGCATGCAGAGATGTCTTCCCCAAGGCTGCCACCTAACCTGCAGCTACACTACAACTCATGCCACCTCTATTTCGCCAACAGGAATGGCGACACCTTTCAATTTTGTACTCATTCGCCAAATCCAATGGCGCCTCCCTACACGTTCAATCATATTACATGCATGCAAAGATGCCTTCCCCAAGGCTGATACCTAGCCTGCACCTACACTGCAACCAATGTCACCTCTAATTCGCCAACAGGGATGACAACACCTTTCAATTTTGTACTCATTCTCTAAGTCCAATGGCGCCTCCCTACACGTCCAATCATATTACATGCATGCATAAATGCCTTCCCCAAGGCTTCCACCTAGCCTGCACCTACACTACAACCCATGCCACCTCTGATTCGTCAACAGGGATGGCGACACCTTTCAATTTTGTACTCATTCGCCAAGTCCAATGGTGCCTCCCTACACGTACAATCATATTACATGCATGCAGAGATGCCTTCCACAAGGCTTCCACCTAGCTTCCACCTACACTGCAAGAGTGACGCTTATCATGCATGCATGCAACCACCAACCACCTCACTTATTCATTGTGATAAAATTTCGCCTATAAATACAGAGCCTCACATACTTCTTTTACATCCACAATCATCTCACTCTCTGCAACAAACTCTTTCATAATCTCAGACAATTTCAACAATGACTCTTCTCACAATGGGCGATTCTTAAAGAGGCCCAAGGGACAACATTGCAGCGTTTGTAAGTTTCTTGTATACTTATAAATTTTTTCATACTTCTATTAATGATTTATACATCTTATGGACTCTTACACTTTTTACATTCTTAATTTAGGATACTAAAAGATTCAGAATCTGGTCACACAACTACCTTGCTCCCGACCCGTTGATTATGCCTTATCTCGAATACGCAGGTTTCGAAAATGTTATAAAGATCTCCAACTGCAGGATTGATTCAAAGTTCATACTTGCAATGTTGGAAAGGTGGAGACCAGAGACCCACATATTTCATCTACCAATAGGTGAATGTACTGTCACACTAGAGGACATGTACATGTTATTGGGTCTCCCTGTCGACGGGAAGGCGGTTAACGGGTCGGTTCAATAGCCCAATTCTATGTGCAAGGAATTGTTGGGCAAGGATATGGTTGAAGGTGGTGGTGTAAGAGGCCAGGGTATACTACTTACTGAACTCAAAAATCATTATGCGACTCTGGAGTTGAACGAAAATTCCTTCGAGCTAGCTAAGGTAATAAAAGCTAGAGTTTATATAATGATACTTTTTGGAACCTTTTTATTTCTCAAAAGTACGGGGAATAATGTAAATTTCATGTATTTAAATTTACTTAGAAACTTTGAAAAAACTAGAAAGTATAGTTGGGGTTCTGCTGTTTTAGCCCATCTATACAGTTTCTTGTGTAAAAATGCAATCAAAGAAAAATGTACTTTTTATGGATGCGCTTTTTTACTTCAAGCCTGGGGTTAGTGGAGAATGGAGTCCCTAAACCCCGTTAACAACAACACATTCGTTTTCCCATACGCAACAAAGTATGTCAATAACTTATATCATTTATTATTATTCATCTCTTCACCAAATATATAATAAAAACAAAATATTTTTCAATTCCATTAGGTATTGCGTGAGGAGCATGGATTACAACAAGAATCCAAGATTCAATGCCGCTTTATATCACAATCTATTGGATCACCTTGGCCCGGATGATGTACGTCACACCTTTCAACTTTTCTACTTTTAAATTATTTATTTATTACGTTTTCATTAAGCTGATTTAATTTTGTCCGCAATTTATCTGGAGACCATATTTGGGTTTGGACCATGAACCAAACTTCGAGGATGTAGTAATTTGGGGCGCAAAGACTGCAATCATACAGTTCAATGTTGTGGAGATGCACCACAATGACCGTGTCAAGATGCAGTTTGGAATGCATCAAGAGATACCCTACGATCCAATTTGTTTGTCCCCGTGGCATCGCAAAAGGGTCGACGCCCAATGGGATCTTACCAACTGGAAAGATTTTTCTCCAGAATGATGTAAGATGTGGCAGAGGCGTCACCGACATGTCTTGCAATTCCCAGTTTTCCTCAACCATGGTAATATACGACACACAGATTAATATTTAGCTTGATACATATCGATTAGTAACCCAGAAATGCACATGTCTCATCCCAGGTATTTGATTGACCCACGAACACAATGGGCACAACCCTCATTTCCCCAACAACAAACCCAACACACATCAACCTCCCACAAACCTCTCCGACGAAACAAAACCACAAGCACCCAACCACAATCACCACCACAATATGATTACACCCACATGCCCCACAACCAACCATAATCACCACCTCAATACCAATACTCCCACATGTCTCACACCCAACCACAATTTCAATCACAATACCAATACACCTGCATGCCCCACACATAATTTCAGTCTTATACATATCCCAATATGGGCCCCTCAACATCTAACCTTAGCCCTGATCTGGGATATTCCGAAGATTATGACCCAACCGACCCAACTTACCATCAACCACCACATCATCAAAGCACCCAACATTTCCAATACCAAACACCCCAGGATTCATTTCCTTTCTACCCCCCTTACTCAGACGATCAGTGCTATAGACCAACCATGGAACCCCACCCACCACCAATACGACCAAACTTTGAGGGTATGGGTAACCGACTGTACCAAAGCAGATCTTTTAGATATGGAGATCTGATCGATTTCATGGATCCGGAACGCATTGACTTCGCTGGACCATCGACTCTGCCACAATAAGAAACACGATGAAATCCACCACGAGAAATGCGAGAACGCGGATGCGGAATCGCAGGTCGTTATCGGGTTTAGGGGGACCACTGATTATTTTGTATTTTTTTATGTAATTGTATTGTGTAAATAAAAAGTCAAATTTTCGTGATCCTATATTGTTTACGTAACGACCCGCATTTAAAATAAAAGACGCAAAAAATTGCCTCCTCATTGCACTAAGGCGCCATCTCACTTGACTTAGGGCACACATTTAACACCTAGGTGCCAAGTGAGATGGCGCCTCCCCTTTAAAATAAGGTGTAAGCGTCAATTGAGATGACTCTTCCTTTGTGGAATTTTCTGAAATATGATTATTTGCGTAATTTTCTTCAAAATATAGTGAAATTTTTTTTCAATACCTAATTATTGTAAAAAAAGTTCTAATCAAAACATCAACTTTATTGATTATTTGTAAAATTGAACTATTTACAAGGGATATGGTGATTGCTTATTCTAAGGTGGGTAAACCCTAAGAAAATTAAAAAATGTGCCAACAAATTCGAAAGTGCATTTGAACACACATTTTTCACATCAAATACATGAATATTTCTAATGGTAAATATAATAAAATATATAAAAAATATGAAACAAATATTTAATATTAATAGTATAATTAAATTTTAATGATTTAATATATGGGTAAATTAAATAAAATAAAAATATGTCATTAATCTAAATAAATAAATATAGAAAAAAATATATTTTTCGAATACTTGAATAATGATTGAGTAAATGTGTGTTATTGATGTAAATAAAAAATATATTATTCACCCAAATATGATAATAATATTTATTATTAAATAAAATTTATATAATTAAAATAATAAAATTTATTTAACTAAAAATATTTATAATAACTTTTTAGTTACATTTTATTATAATAATTTAAATAAATTTGCTATCTCAATGATAGTTTTTTAAATTAATAAATTAATTCATTTATTTTCATTATAACACTATATTTTTAATGAATTTTTATTTTATTACGATCATTATAAATAATTGTTAATTAGTATTTAAAATAGTTTTTAATCTTTTTAATTAAATTTAGTGTACATGTACCATCAGTTGAATTTTTTTAATAAATAAAATTAATTTGAAGATGTTTTTAAATTACGATATAATAATTTTATAAAATAATAATAATTTGTTAGTTTAAAAATTCATAAATTTTCAATTAAGAAAAACTAAAGTAATAGAGCTGAAATGACAGCGTAATTTTTTTTTAAGATTATATATTTATTTATATCTTATCACAAATAATTTATCAAATTAATTTTATAAAAAAAAAATACTGATCCAAATATTTTATATACAAAAAAAGTTTATTGATGATCTAAATTAGTTATAAACGGTATCAAAATAAAAAATAATTTTTATATAGGTAAAAAAATATTATTATCTAAATATTTTAATAAATAATATTATTTTTTAAACAGTAAAAAAATTATTATTAATTAAAATATTTTTATAAATAATATTAAAATAAAAATAATATTTATATACTAGAAAAATCTATAATTAAGTATATAATTTTTTAATACAAACTAAAATATATTTTTTTTAATATATGTGTGAACAAATGCGCATATCAGAATTAGAATCCATACATTTTTTACTACTATAAATTAAAAATAACTATTTTGTAAAGTGTGATTATGCATAATATTGATAATGAAAAGTTATGAGAAAAAAGTGTGTATCTGCGAGCGAGATATAGTAAAAAAAAAAGAGAATATATTTAAAACTTTTAATTAAATTTGTTTTTATTAGTAATGTATTACCATAACTCACAAACTGAGAGATCAATTAAAATGCAATTTACATATAATTTAATCTTAAAAAACACATATTTTAAACATAATAATTAGACAAAATTTGTTTTCGGTGTAGTCATAGCTATGGACGAAAACCGATTGCGATGAATGAAGAACATGCAGCGTCGATCTTTGCTTGCTGCTCAACAAATGATTCTCTCTGGCCGCCGCCGCTGCCACTAGGAATGAAGTTAGCAATCGGACGAGAGTGATTTGTGTTGAGTAAAATTAGAACGATGGCTCGAGGACAGGGACTACCGAAGAAAAAGGTGTCATTGTCGTCGATACCATCTGGTGTTCACAAGCATACCACAAGAAGCAATGGAGATAACAATGATGACAAGGGAACCGAAAGCAACGTGGAAGATACTGAGAATGAGATGGCATCACGCAAGACCGAAGAACCAAGTAACAACACCATAATTGGGGGAGGCGAAACTTTGGGAGGATGTAATCAAAGACAATAGGGTAACTGCGAACGGTATGCCTATTGAGTTTATCGCACCAGAAATTGTTGATGGCGAGATGATGACATCATAGGCGAGGTCAAATTCGGGGAATCAACTATGATCATGTATGTAATTGGAGGTAACTTGGCAAGAGGTCAGCAGAGCTAGCACATCAAGGAGAAAAGGCAAGGGCAACCAACAGGACCCAAAAACAGACCAGATATGGAGTGTAAATGGCTTTGAATCTCTGAGGATTTGGGAGGATCCTGCAGAGGACCCCATGATTATGACATGATCATTACTTGGAATGTTAGGGGGTTAAACAAAATATTTAAAGTTAAGGAGATTAGCTCCCGTCTCCATCAACTTAAACCTGACATAGCTATTCTAGTTGATTCCAGAGTGAAGACTCTCAATGATGATATAATAAGAAGTAGATTGGGAATTTACTGGTTCTATGTTGATAAATATTCTCACCACGAGAATGGTTGAATCTGAATCCTTTGGAATAAAAATACAGTTAATATCAAAGTCAATAAGAGCACAAACCAAATGATACACTGTGAATTAGGGTACCCTGCCAGCAACAAGCTTGAGAAAAGGAGACTTCTTTGGCACAACATTGACACTCTTCACAAGCAGATGCAGGGACCGTGGTGTCATCTGGAGGATTTCAACAATATGTTGAAACCTCAAGATAGACTTGGAGGAACCCCTGTAACTGAGGTTGAATACTCTGACATGAGGAACATGATGGATAAAACAGGTCTTTATGAGCTAGATAATATTGGTGACAAATTCACCTGGTCAACTAAACAACATGACAACCCTATCTACTCTTGAATTGACAAGGTTCTAGCTAATGTGGATTGGTATCAGCAACATTTCTATACATCCCTTCACATTCTGGATTGTAGTGTCTCTGACCGCAACATTCTTTGTCTCAAAGATACTGTGGCCATTAAAACTTACTTGAATAACTCTAGCAGCACGGAGGGATTTTATCAAAAGGTTGAGGACAATTGAAAAGAGCAGATGACAGGAAACCCAATGAAGATTTTCTGGAACAAGCTTAATAGTCTCCAACCTGTCATGAGGAACCTGAACAGAGTTGGGAGGGGCATCCAATCTCAAATTCTGAAAAATAGAAAGAAGATGAAGGATGCTCAAGACATCTTGATTAATGACAAACTGAACCCTCAAGCTATTGGCACTGTTAAAGAATACACTGAGAAACTTGTTAAACTCAATGAGATTGAAGATCAAGGCTTGAAGCAAAAATCCAAAGTTGATTGGCTTAGATTAGGGGATGGCAACAATGCATTCTTCTACGCCTCCCTCAAGGGTAAATCTAATCACGTGGCCATATCTCATCTTTATAAATCTGATGGCACAAGAATCCAGAACCGGGCTGATATTGAAGAAGAGATTCTAGCCTTTTATGGCAACTTGATGGGGAAAGCTGATGTTAATCTGACAGGGGTGGACATCACTGCTCTAAGGAATGGAAAGCAAGTGACTTTGAGTCAAAGGAGAACCCTCATTGAGACTATCTCTGAGAATGAAATTAAGAAAGCTCACAACGGCATTGGAGATCTTAAAGTTCCTGGGCCTGATGGATTTGGCTTTAAATTCTTCAAAGATGCTTGGAGCATTATCAAGGAAGACTTCACTGCTGCTATTAAGATGTTGTTTGAGAAAGGTAAGCTGAACAGAGCCATCAATGGGACCCTGGTCACACTCATCCCAAAGCACTCTGCAACTCATGAGATCAAAGATTATAGACCTATTGCCTTTTGCTCTACCATGTACAAGGAGGTAATTGCAAAAATTCAAGACCAAGCAGCTTTTGTGCCAGGCCAAAAAATTCAAGACCACATTTTACTAGCATATGAGTTTATTTGGGGATATTCTAGAAAGGGTGGAACCCCCAGATGCATGACACAGATGGACATTCAGAAAGCTTATGACACTGAATTGGAAGGCTCTTGAGACCAATATGAAGGAATTCAGATTTCCTAGAAGATTCATTGGTTGGGTTATGCTTTCAGTCCCCACAGTCACTTACACCTTTAGAATCAATGGAGTGCACTTGAATGCTAGAAGAGGGTTGAGGCAAGGGGACCCTCTACCCCCATTGATTTTTGTCATTATCATGGAGAATCTTCACAGGAAGCTCAACCAACTTCAATATCAACATGATTTCAATTACCACTCTAAATGTGAGAAGCTGCAGATCATTGACATTGCATTTGCTAATGATCTCCCCCTGTTCTTTAGAGGAGATCCCCACTCTGTGCACTTAATGATGAGATATTTCAAGGAATTCTCCCAATCTACTGGTCTGGTGGTCAACCCTCAGAAGTGCAAGACTTACGTTGATGGTGTTAATGACCAAACAAAAGAGGAAATTCAATAACTTACTAATTGAAGTCATGGAAATCTCCCTTTCAGTTACCTTGGCATTCCCTTTACTTCCAAAAAGCTTTCTAATCATCATTGCCTTGAGCTGGTTGAAAAACTTATTAAAAAGATTAGACATTGGAGTTCAGGTCTGCTTAGCTATGTAGGAAGAACCCAACTAATCCAAAGTGTTTTATTTGCCATTACCAACTACTGGCTCCAATGCCTCCCTATGCCTCAAATTATAATTAAGAAGATATAAGCAATTTGTAGATCCTTTCTCTGGATTGGCAAAGCTGAGATATCCAGGAAGTCCCCAATAGCCTGGAAAAAAATTTGCAAGCCTCAAATCTTTGGTGGTCTCAATCTGATTTCTCTGGTAGAATGGAACAAAGCTAATCTAGCCAAGCTGCTGTGGAACCTTAGTAACAAAGCTGACTCTATGTGGATTAAATGGATCCAAACTTATTCCTTAAAGAAGCACACTGGGATGTCTGCCCCTGTGACATAAAATTGTTATCCTCAATCTTAAGCATGAAATCTGTGGGAACCAAGCGTGGCATAGTTGTCATATAAACAAGAAGTTCAGTACAAAGAAAATATATGAGGAACTCAAGGGTGATATGGACAACTTTTATATATATTCCCTGTTATATTATAAGAAAAAGTTCATATTTTACCTAATAAAAGTAAATATATCTAAATCAATAATAAGTAATAAAAGAAATGCATAAAACAAAATTAAATATTTTGTCTACATCGAAATAATGGACTTTAAAAATATTATAATGGGTTGGCCCAGTATAAATAAAATAACCCTAATTTGTTAGTCAAAATATATAACACGTATCATTTCTTCTTCTTGAGCGCAGTTCTCCAATCTTTTCTTCCTTTCTGTGTTGTGATGGGCAATTCTTATTTTCCATTTATTTGCAATTTGTCTCCTTCAGCTTTCACATATTTTTCGAGAAACATAATCTTTGAATGAAACTATGTCTCCTGAATAAGTAGAAATTTTGAAAGGAGCTCACTTGAATTTGAGTCTTCTAAAGTGGTCTCCATACATGCAAAACAATTAGAGATATGAGAAGATAAATTTGAAATTAGATATATTTTATTTGTATTATATTCTTTATTTTTGAATATGTAAGAGTATAGATGGTCAATTTTATTTATTTTGTATGGGTATAAATCGGAAATACATTTTCAGTGGCTACCGTAAATATATTTTCGGTTGCATCCTAAACATATATAATTGATTGGTCTTGGAATCCAAACTCAAGTCAAGAGATGAATCGAAATTGTATTTATGGTGACAACCGAAAGTATATTTCTAGTTTGTATTCGGACTAAGCACGCCGCCTTTTTCCCTCCATTTAAAGTAGCATTTTCGAAACACACAAAACACCTATTATTACAAAATCAAACAACTTTGCAAAAAACTCGTCATGAATAGTAACATATTAGTTAACTTAACTGTTCAACCACATTGAATCAAGAGGCATCATCAATTGTAAGTTGTTTTTGAGTTTTTTTAGAGTTTATGTAATTTCTACTTAAATTTGTGATTTAGGTTAGAAAATGTGAGTTTTTTTGTGTGTTTTCAATATTAAGAGTCATTAGAAAAGTGTTGGAAGTCTCATTTTTATGATTAATGACCATTTTTTGGAGATCATTTGTGGTTCTGCTCCGCCATTGACGAAAGTCTGAAATTTCCAGTCGTACCGGAAATGTATTTTCGATTTTCATTTTAACATTGAAGAAAACTGGTAATGCATTTCAGGTTTTAGTCTGTTTCTATTTCCCCTTCATTCTTAACATTAGTCCTTATGCTAACGATTATTTTATGTTTCTACATGAGTAATGGCTGAGAGACCATCTAGATTGAGACATGACAGACTTGCACAACATGCTTCTGTGCGGAGGGAAAGGAGCCAGGTATCCCAGGCTCCTTCTGCCTCTCGATAGGCTATTCCAGATGCGCCTACTACAATCTTCGGTGTTCCTGTTTCTATTCCGACTTCATCGTCTTCCCACAACAGGCGGGATTCTCTAGTTCATCTCCCCCCGCCACCGTTCTCCCGTACACGCACTTCCTCATCGGGTATCTGAGGTGGGAGAGACATCTGATACCCAGCCGACATTAGAGGTCACATAGTCGACACTTGAGGTGCAACCATAACCTACATCCCAGCCTCAGTCACAAATAACACCTGAGGCGGCATGCTAGACAGTTCTCTATCAAATAAATCAACAATCAACAAATATCAGTGCACATCTTGGTCGTTGATAGGAATAAAAATATTTAAAAGAACTAATATTATTTGATATGAACCAAAATTTCAATTTTAAATGTAACAACCATTTTTGTAAAGTAACAGAAAATCACCTTGTTAACGGAAGATTTTATTGTCATGAACTTAGCTTGATACACTTTCCTCACATGGTCAGCTGGATATTGTCTGTTCATAGCATATTGCTTAAACAAAATATAGTTTAAGTCAACAATTAATACTTAATGACGGCAAATGTAAGAGTTAGAAATGAAAGTGGTAATCACCGGAAACTCGGTAGGCAAATACCAAACAAACTTCATTCTTCCTGTGGTATCCATCACCCAATTTTGTCTGTGAATGACTAGATTAGTAATCTGTATAGTCAAATGAAAATGATATTAGATTAAAATTTTACATTAATATGAAACTTTTTAAATTTCAATCATATAAATATAACCTCTTTGTCATCAAGATAATTAGGCATCAAAGACTTCAGTGTTGCCCTATCCCCAGCTACACTTAATGTAGATTTAATCAAAATTTCATCACTATAAATAATATATGTATGCACTATCAGTTATAAGATTAATTGTGAAAAATAATATTACAATTAGGTTTTAACATGTGTATTAAAAAGACATACCTATTTTATTGCTCTTTATCAGGTATAAAGATATATGTCGTTGTATAAGCACTTATTTGATTCAAAATCATCTTTGGGGTGAGTCTTAAAGTCATCGGTATCCACTATCGTTAAATACATATGAAAGAAAGATATTTGTAAGTAATAAATTGATATTATGTTATATTAGGTTTTATTTAAAATAATTAGTTAATTCTTACTTCAGGAATAACAAAACCAGTACCGGAAGCTTCATATCCAATATTACTTGATGGGTGAAAGTTGAGGATAAAATCGTTGTCATCTTCTTCTTCAGGCGTTGAAGCTTCATAGTTGTCACTTCTCAATGTGGTAGTATGATGACTGCTCAAATCATTTTAATAATCAATTTACTATAAAGGGAAGAAAATGATGGACTGATAAAGTAGAAAATAGGAAAAAATAAGTTATTATCTGGATAATATCTCGATAATCTCAGTTTTTAGGGGCTTCATGCGAGTCTCAAAGTACCTCTTTCTAATTTGTTTGGAATGATTTGAAATGTTTGAAGTCTTTTTTCTCTTCTTATATGTTGAATTCGTTTAAGTGTTATTGTGTTTTGTGTGTTTGTTTTTCATTGCTGGAGAAATTTGTTTCATTTTGATTGTTTATGAAGTTGTAATGTTTTGTGCGTCTGCTTGTTGTATGAATGTAAATGTCAATGGAGTTGTGAGGTTTTGGAAGAATAAGTGCTTAGTTAAAATGTTTTGGCAATTTGAGTGTTTAAATATGATTATACGGTTAGAATGCCAATAGTCATGTGAGATTTTGTGTCTTCAATACTTAAAAAATGTAATTGTTGGTGCACAATTAATGTGAGAAATCCAAAAAAATAATAATAAAGTTATATAAAAGTATAAATTAAGTTTAAAGGTAAAACAAAAACAAAATGGAAGAATTAATATTTAGTAAAAATTAGAAAGGAGAAAGAAATAATATTAAAAAACAATTTTTCTCATTAAAATTATAAAATAAAAGTTGGAATTTTTATAAAATAAAGGTTATAATATTTGTAATTAGGGACTTAGGAATCTGCTCCCAACCTCTCCCCAACACTACATTTTCATAAGATGCAACATAATTATGATTAGTTATTAGTCATTGGTTTCAATGTTTGTATTTCTCTGATACAATGTATATATTTGAACAACACAAACACTAAATAATACTTCAACTATGTGTTTCAGTACGTCGTAATAATAGTGAGTAAAACAGTTCACCTTGACGTGTCAGATGATATTGATATGTGAGAATGAACAAGGCTTATAGTCCTTTTCCCTTTGTATGGCTCTGCAACAACACATTGAGTATCCTCCTTAGCAGGTTCCTTGGCTTCAACTTCACCTTTAATTCTCTCATCACCCGAACCCAGCATATTCCGTTTGCCTGGCTCTGCAACAACATATTGAGTATACTCTTTAGTAGGTTCATTGACTTCAACTTCATCTTTACTTCCTTTATCACCTGATCCCAGCACACGAACACAAAATTCTTTATAAGAAAATGTTTTTCTGATCTTTTTAGTGCATATCAATCGCTCTTCCTCGTGATCCAGATAATAATGGTACAACTATTGACGTTCATGTTCTTCAAAATATCGCTGCTTGTGAGTTCCAGATCTGCATAAAATATCAACATCCAACACACATTATTTATACACCCTGCATGTGAGTAAAAAATTGTCGTGCTTCTCTGTAACTCTACCATTAACTAAAATCGTAAACGAATCATTAAGAATCAGTAACAATCGTTAAGATGCTACAATCAGAAAATAACAAAAATTTCGTCTCAAATTCGCGTGCTTACCCGGAAACAGATTCACGTTTGTTTCCCGAAGTCATCGTCACCGCCAACTAAAAAAGTTACTGTTGGAGTGTGGGATATCTTTGGAAGAAGAAGCTTAAGATGTTATTTTTGACTTCTCTTCTCCCTTGGAAAGCTGATACGTTTTAAATGTCAAGTCCTTTGCTATTCCTTTTCCAATTTTGATGTCCAGTATTAAACCGTTTGAGTTGGGGGTGTAAACACGTGTAACTGTTTGCTTTTAAATGTGTCTAAATGAGTTGGTCTTTAAACATGTATGGTAGCTTCAACATGTGTTTTATTATTTTTAAATCTTTTATTCTTTGTTTAATAAACTAAATGACTGAATTATTTTTTTGATATTATCTATTTAAAGACTGAATGATTTTTTTATATAACTTACAGAAAATTTAATAAATTTTAATCCTTAAATATCTATTTATTTGATATTATCTATTTAAAAACTTGTTTTATAGTTAATAGATTAAATTTTTTCTAAAAAAGAATAATATATTAAATCTTTAAGTAATACAAAATCTAAGTAAATTCCAACGCTCAAATTGTGTGTTATCATCATAACAATGTCTATATTTTTATATTTGATTTTACATAAAATCTTTCTCAAAACTATTATTAATTTGATATCAGTTTAAATTATGATATATCTAATATAATATTTATATAGTTTAACAGAAAATGGTTTAGATAGTAAGAGATTAAGTAATATTATATTATGCTTCATGTGTAACATGCTATTTTATTGTTTATTTTATTGAATTATAGAATCATGTTTGTTTGAATATAAAGCCAAAGCATTAGTAAAATGGTAGATGTATCATACAATTGATTTAAAGTTGCAAGTTTACAATATTAATTAATACCAAACATTTTAAGTTTAAATTACTACATACACCAAAGTTTTGCACAAGTGAATTCAAAATAACATCCATAGTAGTATATAATTAGTGGATGATAAAATCCAAAATAAAACATTTATACTAAGGCAAGACAACCCTTCATACTTAATTCACACTATCCAACAAACAAAGGAAAACAAATACTCCTTCAACTCCTTTCCACTTTCCCATTCAAGTACAGCAAAAAGCGCAACATACTCCAAACCAACGTATCATCGTTACAAAGTTTTTTACTCTTAGAAAATTCGTACCATCCCAATGCCATGTACCTTTCGCACGTGCTTGGTATGTTATCCCTTTTTGCCTTATGAACTTGACACGAAAAAACTTTTTTGTATCTGCATCCACCAATTTGATTTTCGTTTGCATCATTCGAAGGCATCTATATGCTATTTTCCTGGGAAAATGTTGCACATATATAAAAGTAATAACATAATAAGTTATATATTGTTTGGCCATAGGAATATTTTGTATCATATTGATATCCTATACTTACCATAATATTGTTTGCACTGATTTTAACGTTTCTTATGTGAGTCTTTCAAGAATTTTTTTAGCCCTGTGTGACAACTCCATGGTAATTTCAGTTGTCCTCCTTGCCTTTCCAACATGTGCATATTTTCCCTTCTTTATTAATTTCGGCTTCTGGCCAAATTTCTTCTTTGAATCCCTCTTTTTCATTGTGTTACTATTTTTAACATTTACAGGTTCATCCTGTTGTACCCTAAAATTTGCCCTCCCATAATCTTCAAAGTTTTGCCTCAAAGGGTTCAAAGTCTACTCAAGGGCTACACAGTCAAACCATCCTCCTAAGCCATGCAAATTAGGGTTTTGGTTCTTGCAAGGAAGTTGAGGTTTCCAAGGGATTAATCAAGTCCCATATGCTCATACACATTGTCAAGCACCTACATGTCAAGTTTCAAGGCTCACAAGATCAAGTTGCACAGTCAAAAACCCTAATTGCTCCACAGTCAACTGTAGGGGCAAAATGGTCATTTGGCAGTCAAAAGTCAAAATTTTTGGTCAACATCTTATTTTGAAGCCACAATCATCATTTGGTCAAGTCTTGACCATGATTTCACAAGAATGGCTCAAAAATCATCAAGGTGTCAAAAGTTTCTATTTTTGGACAGCTGAAAAGTCAACTGTAACTTGACCAAGGCATAACTTTTTCATGGTTCATCAGAAAAATCCCATCCAGTGCTCATCTTGAATGGGGGGACATTTACTACAACTCATCTTCACATTCCAAGTCCAAGAAATGCTCTCACAAAAAGTTATCAATTTCAACATTATAGGTCATTTTCAAAAGTCAACAAAAAGGGACTTTAAGTCAAAGACCATAACTTGAGATTGGTAAATCAAAATGACATGGGACCAAAGACATTGGTTAAAGAACTTCAATACCTTTCCAAAATGTCCAAGAACATGTTCATAGCTTTAAAATTGAGCAAGATATGCATTGGAGAAGTTGGGAAATTTTTGTGAAATGGCCAAAGTCAATTATCCTTGAAACTTCATTTTTGACAAAAGGGCCCCACTTTTTCCACTTGTTTCAGCTTGGCCATGCTTCCCACGTGTCCCACAATTTATTTCAAGATTTAAAATTAATTTTTCCATTTTTATTTAATTTTATTTGATTTAATTCATTTTAAATCTTTTAAAATCAAATAAAAATCAAAGAAATTAATGGAGGGATATATTTTGCGATGATTAGCTTTGATACACCTTAAAACACATTCCAAATTCGTGCAAGGGCCTATTCCAAGCAAGAATTCAAATTTGACACAAAAATGGAAAGTTGTTTCAATGGAGTTCATGGCATAATCTTAAACATGAATGCAAAGGCTTAATGACCATTATTTGGACTGATACACATTTCATTACTATATATACAAGCCTTCCCAACCTCATTCAAAAAAGAGTGTGTGCAGAAACGGCCAAGAGCAAAACCAAAATTATTCAAAAAGTGAGAGTTCTAAAACATAGTTGCGAGCATCTTCAGATCAAAACAAGCACGTGGCTAAAGCAACCTTTGCCAAGTCCTGAGGCTCATACCGCGCTGTAAGTTCTTCCCAGGTCCCTTATAATTTCCATATTATT